TAGATGTGAACTGTGTCACTGGAAATGTGTATGTATGTATCAGTATAGTATTATATCTTTAATTGTTTCCAGAACATACCCAGCAAAGGTAGTACTGAGTCAAATGGTATTTCTTTTTTTAATTAATTATGTTTATTGGCACATTTTAGGTATACATAATGATCACATTTACAAAAAAGAAATATCCCTAAAAAGAAGAAACAAATATATATTTCAAAAATAAATTTTTCATTCTGGCTACTAAATCAGAGTGAGTGAGATCCACACCTAGCCTACTAGTGAGTAAAGTGGTCCTTTAGGCCAGCAAAAACAATCTCCTGCTGGGCATGATGGCACACACCTGTAATATCAGCACTCAGAAGGCTGAGGCAGGAGGATCGTTGTGAGTTCAAGACCAGCCTGGGCTACAAAGTGAGATCAAGGTCAGCCTGAACTGCATGTTGAGACCCTGTCTCAAAAAGACCAGAAAAAAAAAAAGATCTCCTTTCTTCATACTTTACTAAGAAGACCGGAGCATTAGACATGAGTTTCTCCAACATTCTTCCCTACCTGAAACCTCAGTCACATCACAAACTCTTTCCTTCAGTCTTAGGCTAATACAAATTCTCATTTCCATGGTTATTCCTTCCACTTGTCCGTTTGATTCCATCTCTGCCTATATCACTGAGTACTCTAGTCTATCAGTCATAACTTCTGTGTCTTTCACACTCTGTTGAAACATTCTTCTTGGTGTATAACCAGTCTTTCTCCCCTCTAAAAATCTTTGCTTTGCCATACACTGCTATCACTTTATCATGACTGGTCTGTCTATCTATCATTGGTCATCTCTCAATTTGTTCATCAGAAATGGCTTGATGATTTGCCACTGGAAAGTCAAATCATCTCTTATTAGTATCTTCCGCTAAATTTCTCTGGTAGATAACTTGATTTTTTTCCCATTCCCCTACCTTCCATTTAATTTTCTGATTCCATATGAACTGTAGGATTATTTTTTTCTAGTGCTGTAAAGCTGTAGAATGTTCTGTAAAACTGCAAAAATGTTTTTGGTGTTTTAATAGGGATTGAATTAAATCTATAGATAGCTTTTGGTAATATTGCCATTTTATGATATTAGTTCTGATGAAGGACAAGGAATGTCTTTCCATTTTCTAATATCTTCTTCAATTTGTTTCTTCAGAGTTCTGTAACTTTTATTATGGAGATCTTTTACCGTCTTGGTTCGGTTGATTCCCAAGTATTTAGTTTTTTTGAAGCTATTGTGAAAGAAATTGTCTTCTTGATTTCTCTCTTGGTAGGTTCATCACTGGCAAATAGGAATGCTGTTGATTTTTGTGTGTTTATTTGATAGATTTTAATTCTTTTTTATAGTACTGGGGATTGAACTCAGGCTTTCACACATGTCAGGCAAGGGCTCTACCACTGAGTCACATTTCTAGCTTGCTTATTGATTATCTATCTATCTATCTATCTATCTATCCATCTATCTATTTAACAATTTGAGAGAGGGCCTTAGAAAATTTCCAAGGCTGCGTTTTGCTAAATTTCTCTTGCAGTTCTCCTGCCTCAGGTTCCCACAGAGCTGGGTTTACAGGCATGAGCCACTACTCCTGGTAGATTTTAGTTCCTTACTACTGTATCATTGTTTATTCTGATATTCAAATGTTTCCTGATTTGACCAGTAGCAGCTCCTTTGAGCTGGCTTTTATGTTCTTTGGCTATGCCCCCAACATTATTTGAACTTCCTTATTTTCTGGCTCAATGAGATTTCCAGGTTCATTTTGTGTTTTTGAATTCCGTTCTGGAATTAGCCATGATTCATTCCCCAGGGAGTACTGATTCTGGTTAGTGAAGAATAGTACTTAGAAAACAAGATTGTGAGTGTTAGATTTGTGAATTGTCCCTGTGGTATCCTTGCTTGTAGTCCATCTCACATGCTCATTTTTGAAACTATTTAAGCCTTGCTTCCCCTCTCTTTCTCTTTATCCTTCTTTTCTTCCCTTCCCTTCCCTTCCCTTCCCTTCCCTTCCCTTCCCTTCCCTTCCCTTCCCT